CAGGGCAGGAGGAGCAGGCAGCCCCTCTGACGCCAGAGCGCCCCAGGAAGGGGCAACTGGAGCTGGGATGCATGCATGGGCGGAAGGACAGCGGGACAGATGGAGGGACGGATGGCAAGTGTCAGCAAGTGCTCAGCGCCTGGCACCGCAGCTGGAGGGGCCCCAGCCGCAGCCCAGCACCAGCAGAAGGGCGGGCAGAGCCCAGGGCTCCTGTGGCCAGGCTGGCACCAGCACAGCTCCGTGTCCATAGTGTAAATAGTTGTGTCCGTGGCGCCCGCGCTCCTGGCGGGGCTGCTCCCATCGCATCCGTGTTTCATTCCCACATGTGTGAGTCCCGTGTTGGCCGCCGCTGTGTACCATAGAGGGGAGGAGCAGGGAAGAGGAGTTTCTTCAATGTGTAAAGGCGTCTTTGCAGCTGTTTTGTAGTCGTTGTGGTTTTTATGCCGAGCCTCTGGGCTTTATTTAACCTCCTTGGGTTTTGTTTTGTAAGGATTAATTTAACACCGCTAACCATTTTATTACTTTTATCAAGAAGAGCAAAGTCTATTTTTGATTTCTGTTTCCTGGTTCTTAGGAACATTAAAACCAGCATACAGCTCTGCCCTGCATCCGTGCCATCCCAGGGCTCCTGCTTCCCTCTGCACTCCAGCACCACTTGTCACCCTGGGGCTGCTGGAGCTTGGCCCCAGAGGATGGGGAATCCCTCATTAATCTGATCCCCTTAGCAGCAGCCAATGTCCTTCCCATTTGGTGAGCAGCCCTGCCCTGCTCCCAAGGGCAGGGGAGCCACCTACATCCCTGTCAGCATCTCCACCAGCTTCCCCACCACAGACAGGCAACACCAGGAAGGCCAAGACAGAGTCACATTTATTAGTGTCCATGCACCTCCCTGCCCAGCTGTGGGGCCGTCCCCAACCCATGGCCGCAGCCCCAACCCCCACCTGGCCCTCAGGTACAGGGGACAAGCACCTCCAGCCCTACCCTTCTTCTGGCACTGCCAGCACCCCCGGGGAGTAACCACTGTCACTGGAGGGAGAAGCCAGCATTGCCACCACACTCCAGATCTTGGGTTTCTGGAGCTGCTCGCCCTGTCCAGGCCCTGGATCCCCCTCAGGGCTGTTCCCAGACCCATCCTGCCCAGGGCTGGGGCTGGAGCTGGTGCTGATGGGGACAGTCATCGAGGCCCCCTCACCCTCGCTGTCCTCGCCATCCGAGGCTCCGCGCGGTGCCCATCGTGCCTTGTTCTCCTTCTTGAGGCGCCGGCGGGCGTTGGCAAACCAGGTGGAGACCTGGGTGAGGCTCATCCTGCTGACCACAGCCAGCATCACCTTCTCCCCCTTGCTGGGGTAGGGGTTCCTGGGGTGCCGAGCCAACCAGGCTTTCAGTGCTCCAGTGCTCTCCCGTGCTGCCGCCACCTTTGCCCGCCCTGGCTCAGCAGGCTGGGGCTGCTGGCAGCAGGGTGGGCAGAGCGCAGCGCTGGGAAGCAGCCCCAGTGGCACCTCATAGGCTGGTGAAACCTGGGGGGACACAAGGTGTCAGGGCAGGATGGTTGGGAGGCACGCATTGCGGGGTAGAGGGGCTGGAGGATGTGGGAACTCAGTCCTTCACACATGGAAATGGACAGAGCTGGGTCCTGCCTATCCTTGTCACCCCCTAGCACTGTGTGCCACAAGGTGCTGGGGTGCAGGGAGATGCCAGGGGGTTACAGGGGACCCGGAACAGCAGCTTTCCAGCCTTGACATCAACCATCCCATCCAGCCGCAGCCCAGTTCAAGGAGA